GAGTCAAACCATAGTTATATTTACTTGGCAATAAAACAATGTTGTTTGGGAGGAAGTGGTCTACCACTCCCATGGTCTTCTTCTCAGGACCAAATTTTTGGGTATAAAGATGGAGAAAAAATGTCAATACGTATATAGAGTCCTGTGGAAACAGAAGTTGTATTTACTTCACTAGGAATTCTCTCTGCTGGATGTCTAGCCCTTGAGCATTTAAACTCAAGGGATCTTAAACATATTTTAATTGTGGTATTTCAGATAAAACCACAGCAAAAATGGCTGATGTTCAAAACATGAAGTTGGTACAGACCAGAAATCAAATTCAGTGCTGGTGCTGGCAGATGCAAGTGAGGTAACACCTAGTGGGAACTTAACAGCAAAGGTATGTTTTGGCCAAAGCCTGCACTATTAACATCTCTGAATACTTTCTGATGCACCATTTGGTGCACTTGCATTTGCAACCATTATATTTGGTTTGGAAAAACACTGTTTTGATGCAGTTGAATGTATGAAAGGACAGACAGCATCTAGCAGATGGTTTAGAAGACAAAAGAGCTGGATCTGTTTCAGATCCTAAGGAAGCCTCCCTGTGCAAAAGCTGTGTAATCCCTGTGTGCCTGAGTTACCCCACCTCAAATTATGGAGTTAACAACATGTTATGCAATAAACAAAAAAAAAAATTAATCAGTGCTGAAAGACACATTGTTGGTTGCAATGTTATTATTTTTAGAAAATTATGGTTGCTTGAAAACAGCTTCTTTTAAGCATGTATGGTTTAAAGATGCCTTAAACCACCCTCTGTACTGAAGCAGATAGCATTTGTACTATTGCATATGCATACACTTAAGCCTGTACTTGTTGATTCAAAGATCAGACAGGCTTTTTTGGCACAGCCAGCAGTCTTTATAAAGCATATCAGCTAGAAAGCTTCAATGCAAGGAGCATATAAATGTGACAGGCTGTGAAAGAAAATCCCATGCGCTGCAAATTGATGTGTTATTTCATCATTTTCCCTCTTCAAACATTAATGGAACCAAATGAAAAAAAAAAGTTAAATAAAGTAATAAAAACATCTCTAAAGTTACATTCTTCTGAACAGTTTAGATTTGGTCATGCTTAATGCATATAATAATTTGTATGCCTTCTTTACTGGTAAGTGAACAGGTTGTCCTTTACCAAAGGGCACCTTTTTTTACCACCAAAAAGTGGTAAAAGAACGTTTTTGCATGCTTTATCATTAACATCTTCTGTCAAACGCACTTTATGGTTTCCCACCAGGAAAGTTCCTGGTTGTGGTGATTATCTTTGCAGCAAGGCAAAGTTCTTTTACTGCTGTTTTTGCCTTCTGGTGAGCTACTTGGAGGGATCACTGGTGGCAGGATACAAAGCTCTGACTGCTTTCTTTCTACCACAATTCATAGGTATTATCCAACATAGCTGTATTTCATGTTTCCCCTCAGAACAATCTCATTGCTAACCTGAAGCAAAACCTGAGTGGGAATATTTTCAAGTAGTGCAGAAACATCTGCTTATTCATCAAACATTATACCAGAAAATACTTCACCAAAATTCATTAATTAATGATTTTTCACATGCATCACTAAATGCACTGATCAATTGGATTTTGTAACATTTCTCTTGCTATTTATTTGTGTCATTAAGAAGTAGAAAATGGCTTGAAATAGTTCTAAAATATCTCACTGTTCTTTGTTAGGTTTTGGTTTGGTTTTTTTTTTACAAAAGGTCTGAAAGGAATACGAACACATGGTACCTGGAATGGGAACTGGGAGGAGACCTTCCTTGGGGCAGACTGCCCACAACTTCCTGTAACCTTCTGCACCTTTCCTGAAGCACATAGACTTGCCTGCTGCCAGCACAAGCACCTTGGAGCACCAGAATGGCCAGAGCACAGCTGGGAAGTTATGTGTTCCTCTGGGATCACTGCCACAGGCCTGCCTTTTCCAAGCAGGAATTTGCCTATCTGAGATGGCCAGGTGTTAGAAATATGTAGATTACCAAGTAGAAGATGGCAACATTAGCTAATTAATGACATTTAAGCATCATATTTTTCTGACTACTATGCTGCAGATTTCCTTGGAGGCTGCATCAGTGGATGCCTTCCTCCTGCTCTCTCTAAGCAGAAGACATGGGCTTCAGCTTTCCTAGAACCAGCACATCCTGCTGCACGCACAAACGCAGGAAACTCCTGAGATGGCTTTGGAAGCCCTCAGACACGGACCTAATTTTAAAAGCATGTCTGCATACTTGCAGGCCCTCTATTCTGCTCTCGTGAGACCTCACTTGGAGTATTGTGTACAGTTCTGGTATCCTCAACATAAAAAGGACATGGATCTGTTGGAACAAGTCCAGAGGAGGGCCACGAGAATGATCAGGGAACTGGAGCACCTCCCATATGAAGATCGGCTGAGAAAGTTGGGGCTGTTCATCCTGGAGAAGAGAAGGCTGCGTGGAGACCTAATAGCAGCCTTCCAGTATCTGAAGGGGGCCTATAGGGATGCTGGGGAGGGACTCTTCATTAGGGACTGTAGTGGTAGGACAAGGGGTAATGAAACTTAAACAGGGGAAGTTTAGATTGGATATAAGGAGGAAACTCTTTCCTGTTAGGGTGGTGAGGCACTGGAATAGGTTGTCCAGGGAGGTTGTGAATGCTTCATCCCTGGCAGTGTTCAAGGCCAGGTTGGACGAGGCCTTGGTGGTATGGTTTAGAGCGAGGTGTCCCTGCCCATGGCAGGGGGGTTGGAACTCGATGATCTTAAGGTCCTTTCCAACCCTAACTATTCTATGATTCTATGATTCTATGACAATAGTTTGTCATAAACTTCGATTTTTTTAAAGCCAATGTCAAAGTACAGATGTTACTCTGGTTAGATTGTTCATCTTCTCCCTGTTCTTCAAGTTTGCAACTTTGCTGCAGCTCGCCTCATGCATTAATTGCTTTGTAAAATTATCTATGTACAATCATATTGTCAATATAAAGGAACTAATTCCAATCAAGAAAAGTTATCTAATATGAAATAGATGAAACAGTAAACCTGCTCATACATACATTTTATAAACAAAAATTGTTGGTGTCAATTGTGCAAATAAGAATTCCATAATAAATAATTTTAATAAAGTAGTAAGCATATCTAGGCTATTATAAAAATAATTATTATGAATATGTATTAATATTGTTAATATGTCTTGTTCCTTTTGCTCTTTGGTAGACTGTGGCTCTTTACTCCTTGGGTTGACAATACTTTGCTTATTCCCCATCTTCCCTGACTTCAGGGATGGCAGGGTAGTGAGATCCTTTGTCATGCTGATTCATTCAGCTCCCCATTCCCTTTCAAATAGGTGGCTATGGAAAACAGCCATACACTAGTTTCAGGATTATAGCTCATTCTTCTGGTTTCCTTTTGATTTAAGTGATAATGTTGAAGTTCTGAAGCTGTGCTTCAGAAATGACAACCACACAGCAAATTTCTAAGTGCCCGACAATATGTTGTAGTGGTTTCATCTGAAGGAGGCACAGGAATCACAGGTAACACTATGCTGTCCACCTGCAAACCTTGGGAAGGAGGTTGGTGTTTGCCTTGCCATACCCAGTGACAGACTGTTTCAGAGCTCTCGCCAGACCTCCTGCCATGATCAGTGGCATCGAAATAAAATGTAAATCAAGTCTATAATTCATGCAGAGTTCTGATTGATTCTTATCTGTGAGAGTAGCAGCTGTCCACACATCAGCCTGTGGTAACCTTGCTTCGGCTCTGACTTTCAGGTAGCACTGGGGTAAGTTGGACTTTCCTGTCCATCCAGGCCTCCAGAGGTTGACATAGCTCCTCTTCCTTTTTCCAGGGCAGGTGATCCTTCCTCTGAAACACCTGCTGGTTTCCAGCAGCAGACACAGCATCTCTGCTCACCGTAGAGTAACTATCAATGGCCAGCGTGACTCTCATGTTCATAGTGCTGGGATCACAGCAGCCAGGACAGTCCAAGAGCTGAGTGGAGGGTGACACCCAGGAGCTGTGATCACCAAGACAACAAATGACACAGGTGCTGGTGCACTGGGGGAGGGAGCGGTAGGTACTGTCTGATCTGCTATCTGCAGGAGGAAAGCCTATATCCAGGTGGAGCTGCTCCCCTCCTGTCCCTCAGGGGAAACTGACCCCAAGGGTGTCACGCAGCCATCCACACTATGTGGATCATGGCCAGGGAGGGTGAGAGACAGGCTGGCAGGAGGAGATAAGAGGCAAAAGGTGTGAGGACCAGCTGGTGCACCCACACCAGGCAGAGGGTTTACTGAGGTTGAAACATAAGAGTGCAGAATGGTTGAGCTGGGACTGCACCAAAGGCCCTGCTAGCCATTGCCACAGAACCTATTTCTCCTGCAGCCCCCAGCAACAGCCTGGGCAGATGAATCTCCCTGCATCATGAAGGCTTTCGCCCAGGAGGTGGAGGAGACAGTGTGTGAAAGACACCTTGGTGGCACCTGGAGGAGGCTGGGCAAGTTGCTGATGAGGGAAACGCCACCATCCGTTTCTAGTGGGGTTGGGAGACTGCGAGATCCTGTTGCCATTGCGGGTTTTATCAGTGCTGGGAAGGGGAAGGCACGGCAGTCAGCTGAAGGGCCGACACCTCAGCCTGACCGCTTGAGGTAAAGTGAGCTCTACTGACGCCGGTGCCTTGGCCGGTCCACCAAGGGGGAGTGACAGGGGGCGAAGAGAAGAATAAAAATACAAGCTGCTAAGAGAAAAGGAATAAAGGAAATAAAAGATGACTGAAATGTTTATCCCCCGTCTGGTAAAAACAGATCTCCTTTAAAACAAAAGGCACACGAGGACAATAAGCACCTTTTTCCCATTCCAACCGCCCACTGAGGGAGCAGAGAGCTCCCGCAGTGACTCCCCGACGCCTCTCCGCACCTGCTCCCCTCGCCCTCCCGCACTGCGCCTGCGCCGTCAGGCCGGGCCACGCGCACCGGGCGGCCAGCAGCCGGCGGTCACGTGACGCGAGCGCACCGCACCGCACCGCACCGCTCACGGTGCTGCGGAGCCGGGGCCTCTGTGTCTTGCCATTCTTTCCCTCCCTCCATCCCTCCCTTCCCCGCCTCCGCGCCCTCCTCCCTGCCCGCGGGGCGCGGGAGCCGGTGACGGGAGCGAGGCGGAGTCTGGAGGGAAGATACCGAGAGATAGAGATTTAAATCACATCCCCGGCTGTAGAAGGGCAGCAGCAGCAGCAGCCCCGGCGTAGAGGCACGGACGCACGCGCCGATGACAGGTCTGCCGGCTCCGCCGCTGCTGCTGCTGCTCACCATGGGTGCCGCCGCCGCAGAGCCCCCTCGCGCCATCGGCCTGATGTCCAGCGTGGTGAACGACACTCTCGAGTTCTACCGCTGGACCTGGAGCATCCGAGGTAACGCGCCAGTGCGGCCCCGCCATCATCGCTCTCGCCCTTGCCTGGCGCCCCCCACCCCGCTGTCACTGAGGCGCTGCGGTTCAAAATGGCTCCGTCTCCCGGGAGACGCGGCGCGCTCCGAGGGGGGCTGAGGCAGCGGGTGGGTCCCGGCCCGAGGCTGCGGCCAGCTGCCGGGCCCCTCCGCACCGGCCTCTAGTCGTCGTCCTTGTGGGTGTGCTCTGGTGCTTTGTGTGTTTATCTCTTTAATCCTGTGTAACGGCCCGGGGTGCTCGGGGCATCTCTTCATGGCAAGGTGAGGGTGTCCCCCCGGCCGCCTGCAGGCTGGACTTGGCGAAGTCGGCTTCCCGGAGCCGTCGCTTCTCGGTTTTCCCTCTTTGCAGTGTGCCTTGGGGTGCTCATACGGGAGTTTCATATCGGGGGTAAGCGAGGCCCTCTGATAATTCCCGCTGGAGCTCAGCCAGACTTTGGCTTCTGTGGCAGGTGGGAGTCCTGTGACAGCATCGCGTGGAGCTCAGCGAACTAAATGAGGAAACGGTTGTTACCGTGAATGCAGGCGCCTTTCTTTTGTATTAAGTGTGGTTGGGTCAGTTCTGCTGTTTTCTATTTTTAATATGCTCCTTTTATGTATTGGCACCCCACGGCTGCAATGTGGAAGATGCTGAAGGAATGTCTTGGAACATGGAGAAATGTGAAAAAGCAGCTCTCAGTGCTGGGACAGCAAATGAGATACTAACTTGCTACGATGACCAATAGCTCTGGAAGTGTTGGTCAGCATGAATGACTCTCTCCCTAGTCAAAAGAAACAAGTGCAGTAGAGTCGCAGCTTTCATAGTGACGGCTGTGAGTACCCATGAGCAATTGACAGAAGAATCGTTTCTCTGGATGTGTTCTTAGCTTTTCAGTTGCCCACACAGTCATGAGGTCTAGGCTCTTTTGATTTAAACCTAGAAGTACATGGAGCAGAACTCTGGAGTGAATGTAACTGTGAACATATTTTGCGGTAGTATTATAAGTGAGAATGTAGGGGCTTCGATACAGCCAGGAATCTCACTGCATCGGCAGTCTTTTCCACCCCCCTCCCTTCTGCCATCTGTCAGATAATAAATTAGTCTTATGGTATAGATGGAGTTCACTTTTCTCCACAATTTGCCTTCCCAGCTTATCTTCTAGTTTTTGCCATATTATGAAAAATAAGCCTGTGTGCGTATTTTTTTTCTTCTGTATTTCAAACCTGCCAGGATACGAGATGAAATAAAAATGCTTGCAGCAGCACTGCAATGTAATCTACCAGTGTTTGCTCTCTTTCTCTGCCTCTTGCAGCATATGATTGGTCATAGACTGACAGGTAATGCATGAAAAGATGCTGTTGTAGCCAATCAGTAGCATTTTCAGATGGATTTAAAAATAGGTGTGTGTACAGAGTTGATATCCTTATGTATTACTTGATTTGTCTGGAAAAAGACTTCAAGTTCTGATACATTTCCAGAACTTCAAATGTGTTATTTAAGTTTGTGTATAAACAGCATTTGTTGTAGGCAAAAATGATTAGAGAAGAAAAAGAGGGATGAAAAGGCAAGCTTATGTAAGGAATGTAAAGATACGTAAGTTACAGTAGTACTACATGTAGAACAAACTTATTTCTTCATCCTGCTTCTTTGGAGAATGTTACACAATAGTAGGATGATACTATGATGGCATCTAAAATATGCTCAAGTCTTTTACTAATATACTTATGTATAGTTTTAAACTTTCCCTCTAAGTTCAGTAGTGTTGCTGTTCACTTCATTACAGTGGAATCCTGTGTTATCAGTTGCATTTTGCATAAGAGGCGAAGAGTTTCTTGTTCAGGTCCCTGAAAGGATAGTTCTGGGTAGAGCCTAAGTAGCATCAAAAGCATGTTACTGTTCTTATTTACACCCAGTAATATGTAAAACAAGGTCCTCCTGTAGTTATTACAGTCAAGTACAGATAGGGAAAACATATTATCACACAAAGCAGTTACAAGGTAGTTTTTTGAGGCAGTGCTGCATTGCTATTTAATGAAATCATATCATAAGTTCTAAGTTCTGCTTAAATACCTGCTCAGTTTACTGCATTTCTGCATGTGTCTTCATTCAAAAAAAAAATAGTCTATTTGCCATCTCTGAGTAAATATATGTTAAAATCCTGAACTCATGTAATTCAACTTTGTGTCAAGAACTATGGCAGTGATGTTGCTCAACAGAAAACACAAATTATGGTGTGCAAGACCATTGCCTAATGTTCAATATCATTAAATAAAAAACTATACCACGCAGCAAAGTTGCTCAACAAATGATGCCATGCAATAGCATTACACAATAAATCATACTGAAACACTACTACACAGCAAAATTACACAATAAAATGTGAAGAAACTTTATTCCCACTACAACTCCTACACAAAACCTTCTCATTCATGTAAACCCAAATTTACTCATTCTCTCCAGTTCTCCCTTCAATTTTTTATTGGACACCCATGTCTGTGTTTAGCCCTGTTCTCTGTATTCAGCAGGATGGTCCTGCCAGTAGGTGTTTTCTATTGCTACCCTGTGCTCCTATGATGAGACTTGTGTAGAACTGTGCCAGAACATCCAACCGAGTCTTGTGATGCTTTATTTTGGTTCTGTAAAGATTCAGTCTTTTTCCTCCCCTGCTTTGTGCTGTTTAAAAAGCAGCCGACCTTTTCTGAGACCAAAAAGAACCCCAAAAGACTTGAGTATCTGATGAGCTTAACTGGGTTGTTTGTTGTTTTTTTTTTAATGCTATCACAATTTTTTTTATCATTAAGCATGCTATCTAAAGCTGATTTGTTTGTTGTTTTGTTTTTTTTAACTTTTGAGTTTGGGTATAGTAACAGTATTCCATGGCTTTTTCTGCATATGTATTATCAAATATATTCTCAGCCTTAGCTTAACATTTTACGTGTTAATTTGTTGAAAAATTACTTTTTTTTTTCCCCTCTCCTTCCTTGGCTACCTTTTTTGGACTACCCCTTTCATGAAAACCTGAAATCCATTGTAACTATATATTCACCTGAAAAGGCTGAAGGAAAGCATTTAGGAATCCATACATTTCAAGGAGAGACAGAAAGACAAAAATATCATCTTAGTGGTCATCAGGAGAAAAAAAGGTGGTTGATGGAAGAGTTCCTATGAGAAAACATGATCAAGGAATTCCATGCCATTATTTCTGTAAGAGCATGGGACCGCTTACATGTAATAGGTAGGGCAGTGCTTTCTTCTTTCTCTCGGCTCGCGTAGCTGATCGGGGTTAGGTCTGCCAGAAAGGATTAAGGGCATGATTAGATGACTGAGCAAGTGACTTAAAGGGAGGTTCCAGGCTGAGTCTAGGGGAACTATTAAGATGAATAACTCAGGATACAATCCAGGAAAAAAGAATGTGGAAATCTCAAAACATGGGGGTGAAGAGACATTTGCCGTTGGGGAGGGGGACTAGGAAGCTCTGGCTTTAAAAGGAAAGGTTTGTGAAACACTGTATTGAAAAGAGTTATTGTAGAGGAACTAGTTAATTTGAATGTATTGAGCTAAAAAAACAAAGGCTTTACAGACTTTAGGTGAGAATGGGTGTTCTTGGACCTCCAAGTTGAAAGGAGGCAGGGCCATCCCCAGCCACTTGGGACTGCTTTGGAACAGCAACTATTTACAGCTGTTGCAGTTAATAAGATTACAGACTTTTTCCATCAGGAGGAAAGGAGAGAGGAGAAAGATGCAAACTTTCACTTTAGTGGTAGAATAGTCTTCGAAGTAGCGTTTTGTTCAGGAGCCATGTCAGTCATAGCTTTTATCAGTTGGGTCAGAAGTATAAGGCAATGAGGATGGGGAAGAGGGGAAATTTACATCTTCTCTCTTTAAAAGTGAATCAGTGGAGCAGCTTCCATGAGAACTCAAATTGCCATAACAGTTTTTGCCCAGAAGATCTTGGGACTAAGTTAAGAATGGTTAGGAAATTTAGGTTCGGTTTCTTTTTCAGTCCAGGAAACAGAAGTAGAAGCAGACACATGGTTTCTGCATGGGAAAACAAAGGAGGGAAGAAGAAACAAATGTGGTCAAAGGGTCCTGAATTTTTATCCTTGAGGAAAGTTCACTGGGGTGGTTAGCAGAACAGTCTGAGTGCAAGTACTACCTTGTATTTGAGGATTTGTGCCAAAGCTGGAGGCAAATAGAATCCAGATGAAAGTTCTTCTGAGGGTGACGATGGGGAGAGAGAACGAAAGGTGAGACAAAGGTTCATGAAGTCTGTTTCACAGAAACAAATCAGAATGTGTTCCTAAGTTTCTGGAGGGCTGGCTGAATATCAGACTTGATGATTTGGCATGATGCCTGTCTTGCTGATAAACTGGTCCCTCAAGAAGAAAATTGGTTTTGATCTGGTTTTATCTGACCACATCTGGGTAAAGCACAAGGATTAGGCAGGAAGAAACACACCAGAAAATGGGGAAGCTAGTGTAACTGGGTTAGGCTGTCTTGTGGCAGAAAACCTGTGGCAGAAGCAGCACTTGAAGAAACTGATTACAGAAGTGTTAAAGGCTAAATTATGAGCCTACTCTCAACCACACAGAGCACCAGGAGCATCCAACTTCACTTGTTTCATTAAGCATCCCACTTAACTGCCTGCCAGTGGAGGGAGGGACTTTATTAGTGAAGAAAAAACAGCTGTTGGTATTGAAGACAGTTTGCTGAGTGTTTAAGGGAAATTCTACCCACATTTTATGACCAGGAGATTTTTATCAGACTGGAACTCAAAAGACATAATCAGAACAAAATGGATACCAAGCACCTTTGGCAATAAAGACATTGTTTGAAAAGTACAGTACTGAAGTAGAAATGTTTACTTAGAGATTTTTTTTGATCAGGCTTCAAGTACTCAAGTCTGAGGGAGAAGCCTGAAGCAAAGCTAATGCTGCGGACAAGGAGCCGAGTTGTGAATGGAAGACTCTTTTCTAAAATGATGAAGGA